AGAAAGAAAGAAAGAAAGAAAGAAAGAAAGAAAGAAAGAAAGAAAGAGAAAAAGCGTTTCCTGGGGATGAGGAAACACACACGCAGCAAACACACAGGAAAAGACCCTCTACACAGCACAGCGAGGACTCTGAAAGTCCAGTCTTCTCCTGGAGTGGTTAAAACTCTCAAGAGCCTAAGACTGGTCAGTCTGAAGTCAGATAGGATGTTTGATTGGTCCTCAACTGTTACATCATGACATGTCCTCCTCAGGCCTTGACCTGCAGTCCATCAGCAGGGGTCTTGCTGGGAGGAGTCAAAAGCTGTCAGCCTTTTCTCTCAAGTAAGGAGGTTGAGGAAGAAGTGGCCATCTTGGAAATTCCCCGCCTTTATTGCCTAGAATGGCTCCTCCTCTGTCTGTCTACCAGGAAGTCTGGTCTAGTCTCTCAGTCATTCCTCCCTCCCCATCTCAGAGGTCATCCTAACTGCTTTTAGAGGGTTTGGGGGGTGTGGGCAACTGCTCTTAGATGTTCTCAAGCTGACAGAAGGTGGAGAGTGGGGGTCAGCGGCCACAGTGCCTCAGAGGAGGGCTTATCTAACCGGCCACAATAACACTTAACTGAGGCAGTGGTCCAGAGTATAGGACAGTCACTTGGTGATGGGTCCAGCTCAGGGATTTGCCATGTGAGTGACGAGTAGCCTCTTGATGACTCGGTAGTCCTCAAAAAGAGTCCCGGATTAGGTCCCAGGATACCATCTTCAGGAGAAATCCAGAGACAAGCCCCAAAAATGATGCAGTCTAGAAATAATACAGCCTAGGGGTCTTGGTTGGGTTTATTTCCTCTGCCAGTTAAATTAAGAGGCAGGAAAGATCTGAAGTGCACAGCAGGCAGCAGCAGAGCAATCTCAAGCGCCTCAGACAGAATCAGCAGTTGAAGGGTTAGGCCAGACAGCATTTACTAGGGCGTGAGGGGACACACACACACTTACACACATGTGCGCGCGCAGAGCAGACAGAAAAAAGACCCTCTACAGAGCAGAGGGGGGACTCAGGAAGCAGAAAAATCCCTACTCGTTTTAAAGAGAATGGAGTAAAAAAGAAAAAGAGAACACAAGTGTCTGCTTGATGAGGGAGGACAACGCCCCCACCACATCTCCCGAATCCCCTTCACCTCCAGCCAGACTCCTCAGTTTTTGTCCTGATTGCCCTCTCCCCTTTACCTTCTCCACGACCTTTTTCAGGGCCTTGAGGGTGGCGTTACTTTCCAGGGTGAGTTTGACCAGGTTCTCCTGAGACAGGCTCCGAGCCTGCATCTTCTGGGCCTTGAGTTTGCGAAGCTGTACATGGACCAGCTCCCTGTCTGAGCGGATGCCCTGGTTCTGCCACTCACTTTCTCGGCTGTGGGCTGTGATCTTCCCTTTCAATATAACTATGGCCTCCTGGTGGGACAGCAGGAGCAGCTGACAAAGGGAGACTGGGGACCAAGGGCAGAGTCTGTCATTGTGACCCACCCAGCCAGAGACCCGAAAGAATTGGAGAGAGCAAGGGGACAAACGGAACAGTGAAAACCGCCGCCAGTTGCGCGCTGACCTGCAGCTTCTGGATCTTTTTCATCTGCATCTCAATCTCTTTGGAGCTTTTCTCATCCTTCACTTTCAGAGTCTCAAAGGCAACCTTGCGATCCTCTGTGGCATCGGTGTAGTTCTTGAGGGCATCCTGGAACTTTCTCCACAGATCTTCCACTATGTTCTCCAGTTTCAGGCGGAGAAAGTGCTTCTCTTCTAAATTCTAGGAAATATATCCCAAATACCAAATGCTTAGTTACCCTGAGCGCTCTTCACTCCTGCCAGCGGCCTTGCCCTTAAGAACTGTTTGGAGTGAGCTATATGCAGAGTGCAGTTCACTGTGACCTGGACAGGAAAGTCTGGGGGTGGGGGTGGAGATGGCTCCAGCTCTGTGAGAATGATGCCAGTCAGAGGCCCAGAGTTCCAGCTCTCCTAATTTTGTTTTCTGTTTTGGTGTTTTGAGACAGGGCTTCTCTGTGTAGTCTTGGCTTTTCTGGAACTTGCTCTGTAGACCATGCTAGCCTCGAACTCAGAGATCTACCTGCCTCTGCCTCCTGAGTGCCGGGACTAAAGGCATACACTGCCACCACTACCCAGCTTAGATCTCTTAACTCTTTAAGAGAAACCGATAGTTTGGATTCTCACAGGAAATCTTTTCAGTTTTCACATGTAGGAAAAATTTCAAATTCTGAAGTAAAACACTGGCTAAATTAAAAGCAAGGGTTGGGGATAGAGCTTAGTTGGTAGAGCACTTGTCTAGCACTGAATAAGATTGGGTGTGATGGTGCATGCCTCTTAACCCACTCGGTAGGTGGAGGCAGGAGAACCAGAAGTTTAAAGTGGAAGCCAAACAGTCGTTCTAGGCCAACCTCTACTACACAGTGAGTTAGCCAGGTGTGGTGCCCATGCCTGTAATCCCAGCACTCTGGGAAGCAGAGGTGGGTGGACCGCTGTGAGTGTGAGTCCTGGACAGCCAAGGCTACACAGAGAAACCCTTTCGGGGGATAGGGGAAGCATTATTAGGTTGGCATTCTTGTAGGACTGACAGTGAGAGTGGGGTTATCTCTGACTCTTTTGCCTGCTGTTGGGACCCTTTTCCGACCAGGTTGCCTTGTCCAGCCTTGATGTGATGGTCTGTGTCTACTCTTAGTACATCTTGTCCTGCTGTAGTTGGTTGATATCCTTGGAAGGCCTGCTTTTTTCTGAAGAGGAGGGGTCTGGGGGAGAAGGGGCGTTGTGGTGGGGAACTGGGAGGAGTGGGGGAAGGGAAAACTGTGGTCAGGATGTACCAGATGAGGGAAAAATAACACATTGAGAACAGTTCTGCCTCCCAAGCAGTTTTCACAAGATCACAGAGAAGCACCAGGGCACAACGACTTTTATTGCCTGTGGCCTCTGGGGCTTTCGTCTAGCTCTGCTTGCCTTGAGCAGTTTGCTGGCATCTCTGCAGAGCCTGTCCCTCCGCTCTCTTTCTGTACCTTGTTTTTCAGATCATCCCACATGCTCTGGAACTCAAGCTTGCTCTCATACTCAGAGTCCATGTAGTTCTGCTCCATGGCCATGAAGACATCCTGTAAATAGCGAATCTCTTTATCGTGCTGGTCGACGATCGTCTTCCTATAGGAGACAGGATTGACATAGCAGGTGGGCCAAAAATAACAAGCAAATGCGTAGTGTTGAGTGAGCCAGGCGTGGTGGCACACTCCTTTAGTCCCAGCCCTTGGGAGGCAGAGGCGGGTGGATCTTTGTGAGAGGCCAGCCTGGTCTACAGAATGTGTTCCAGGCCAGCCAGGCATACACAGTGAGGCTCTTGTCTTACAAAACAAAAACAAAACCATGAATAGTACAAACTTTTAGGCACAAGCAGGGAGGGAGGGAAAGGATTGGTTTGTGAGTGTGTTTGTGTGTGTGGTTTTCCCCAGAAAGAATATGAATATTTTGATTTTTTTTAAAGTCTAAATAAGTTTACAGCATAATCTCTCTTCCATCCCTTTCTGCTGCTCGATGGATAGAATTTTGAGAGTTGGAAGTAGGAGGTACAGACAGGATTCTGGCGGGGGTAAAGATACAGCTAAGGCTGTAAGGCTGTAAGCTCATTACAAGAATCTCAGGACCCTGTCGGCCTGGGGTTGTGGTTCAGGGAGGAGGCACCTCAGTGTCGGGCATCTGGTCACAGGCATGGCTCCGGGAACTCCCCTGGATCTCTGGCCCCCTACCTTTCCTTCTCAAACTCATTCGTCAGGGCCTCTAGCTCCATGTTGTAATTTTCCTCCAGGAGGCTGAGGCGCCGGCGTTGCAGGGTCAGGAGCTGGTCCAAATTGTGCAGGTGGCTACGCAGGGTATGGGCATACTGCTCCTCAGCTTCAGTCAAGTCCTTAGCCAAAGACTGGGAACGAGGGAGAGAGTTACCTTCAGGATCAGCCGGGTCCTCAGCACCCCATCTGCTGTGGTGGCGCCCCTGTAATCTTGGGTTTGGGGAAACAGGGGTAGGAGGAGTCTGAGGTCTGACCAGCCAGCCTACCCAATATATCTCAAAATATAAGGTGGACAGTGAGTGAGAAAGACACTGATCTTAACCCCTGGCCTACACGCACACCTGCGCGCGCGCGCGCACACACACACACACACACACACACACACACACACACACACACACCTGCCTATGTAGGTAGCACAATAGCATTTTCCTATTATTTCCTAATGGCTTTAGGAATGCCAGCTCTCCCGTTCAGTCTTTTAAAATTAAGATTTATTTATTATTTGTGTGTAGGCATGTCTTTATAAGTTTATGTTATGTGTACTGTAGGTATCCCAGGTGGCCAGTGGAGGACAGAGGCCCTCAGATTTCCTGGAATAAGAGCTACAAGCAGTTGTGAGTTGCCTATCGTGGGTGCTAGAACTCGAACCCAGATCCTCTGAAAGGACTGTAGGAGCTTTTTAACCACCGAGCCATTTCTCCAGCCCTTGCCGTTCACTCTTATGCAAACCATGGATGACATCTAAAGATGTAGGGACTGGTTTTGGTGGTGCATATCTTTATTCTCCCCACTCAGGAGGCAGGGGCACATGGATATCTGTGAGTTCAAGGTTAGTTTGGTCTGCATTGGGAGTTCTAGGCCAACCACATCATAAGACCTGTCTTTATTAAAAACCACTGGGAAGGACTGAAGAGATGGCTCAGCAATTAAGAGAACTGGCTGTACTTCCAGAGGGACAAGGTTTGATTCTCAACAGCCACATGATGGCTCACAACTGTCTGTAACTCCAGTTCCAATGCCCTTTCCATGAGCATCGCATGCGTACGGTGCGCCTAACGTGTGTGCAGACACACCTAACGTGTGCGCAGACACACCTAACGTGTGCGCAGACACACCTAACGTGTGTGCAGACACACCTAACA